ACATTCCCACTGAAGAAACAGATCTGCAATTTACAGGCCCTTCTGGATTTATGGGTCCCACTAGAACAGCAAGCTATGGTTGGAGGAGCTTTGCCCAGTTTATGTGGATATACTATATGTAACCCATCTGAACTATGAAATCATGGTGATACACTGATTTAGGCCATCAATCACACATGCTTAGACTATAGTAGTATGCTTTGTATTGGGCTGTCTCTGATGAAAATCCAGAATGTGGCAGTCAGAATGCCAGAGAGTCATTGCTGAACATGATTATCCATTTGATGCACTGCCTACCAATAGATATCTGAGGTCACGTTAAAAGGTTGGATTCGATTCCACTAGTCAGAAATGAAGTTTCTTGGATGAGGAATGAAACATTAAAAAAAAGTCCAGTTGCCTTTTGGAAAAAGCATCTTTGGGACAACCATGACCTCGATGATTGAGAATCTCCATACACATTTGAAATGACAATGTTGAGATAGTTTGTTTCTCTTTATGGCCAGTTTCAGTTATTGGTGGGGAAAGAGAACTAACCCTAGACATGTAAGATGCCTTGGGATCCAACTCTTCCCACTCCTATTTAAAAACATCTAATTGAAGCCTTAAGTCATCAGTTGGCATATCTTAACTTTAGATCAACCAAGCAATGTCATCAAAGTTCTATCTTCATGTCTGGACATTATCAGAGTCTAGATGCAAAAGAAAATACTCAGACTGAACTCTAGTAAGGCCAAGTGGATTTTGGAAGTACTTGAATCTGCATATATTCTATTGTTGATTCTGGATGGGGTTGCACCAGAAAGAAGTGGTGCACAGTTTGGAAGTCCAACATTCACAGCATCTATTCAAAGAGCAGGACACGGTTGTAACCATAGTTGTAATGAGGAAGGCCTTTGAAGATCTATCTGGTTGCCAATATAAAATTGAGCACAGAAAAAGAGAACTACCATAAAACAGTGCCTTCCACCCCAAATTAATTAATATAACTCATGGTACCCTTTTAGACAGCTTCAAGAATCTTGGGAGATGGGCAACAAATTAATTTTATTTATTTATTTAATTATTAAATTAATTTGTCACCCATCTCCCAAGAAGATTCTTGAAGCTGTCTAAAAGGGTACCATGGGTGATGTTATCAAAAGCTGTTGAGAGACCAAGGAACACAGAGATAGACTCATCATCCACAACTTGGCCCCACTGCAGATCATCAAGAAATTTGATTAATGCTGCCTCCATACTGGCTTGAAACTTAAATGGGTCCAAGTAGTCCACTTCCTCCAGAATCTTCTGGAGTTGAAGCCCAAGTATTCTCCCTACCAACATCCCTAAAAAGGGAAGGTTAGAGACTGGACAGTAGTTATCCAGGACTGATGAGGCTAGCAATAGATTCTTGAAGAGAAAATGTACCTCAGCCTCCTTTGAAGCTAATGGAACCACCTTTTTACTGAAAGACGCTGACATCATCACATGGAACCAACTATAGGGCAAATTTCATGTAATTTTCATTACCAGGAAGGACATATATTTAATAAGCAGGTGGTGAAGCTAACATAGTGCAGAATCCTCAGAAGTCACGGAATCAAACTCACAGATGAGCATATAAGTAATCCTTGATTTATGATCACAATTGGGACCAGAATTTCCATTGCTAAGCAAGAAGGTTGTTAAATGAGTTACACTTGATTTTACAACTTATTTTGCCACAGTTGTTAAGTAAATCTCTGCAACTGTTAACTGAATCACGTGATCATTAAGCAAAACCAGCTTCCCCCATTTACTTTGCTTGTCGGAAATGAGAGAACACATGATCCCAGCTACATGCCAGTGGCCAGGCACTGGAATTCTGATCGTGGGCTGTGGGGATGCTGCAACAGTCACGAGTGTGGGGACCAGTCATAAGTCACTTTTGTCAGTTCCTTTGTAACTTCAAACAGTTGCTAAATGAATGGCTGTAAATTGAGGACTACCTCTACAAGGCCTTCTTCAAGGCACCTCAACAGGAACCAAACAGTTAGAGTCCAACTTTGAGCCGATCTGAGCAACTTTATCTGCCAAATGGCACAAATATTTCTCACAGCATCCCTGGAGATGATCCTATGGCCCATCCTTTCCAACAGGGAGTAGTGGGTTGCCCAAAATGGTACTGAAAAACAGTAAAAGCAGAGAAATTTTGCTACCCTTATTATCAGTATGATGTATTCTTTAATATGGGTTCGTAGTCTTCCTCAATCAGATTCACTCTTCATCTTCCTCCTACACACTCCAGGCATCTCTTCACACACTTCATTTCCTGGAGCTCCTCAGAAAACCAAGACAGTGAGGGTGGCACCAATAAGCTGAAAAGGAGCAAGAAAGTGATTACTATGTCCTCCAAAATCAGATCATGTCTCAGCTGCCCTGAGGAAATGTGAGACCTCCAGTATGCATTAGGCCTGTGACGACTTCAGACAAACCCATGGTTGCCAAGGAGGCCATGAACTCCCGAGTCACCCCAGACTTAACATTGCCAAGTGGCAAATTGAAATCCCTGAGCTGCATAAGCCTTGGGATCTTAATATGCTTCAGTTAGTTCCCTAAAGATCAACTTGTTGAGACGTTTACAAATTTGGAGCTCAGATGGCTCTCCTCTGTAGCTGCATCACTTAAATTTGATAGAAAACACATAGGCCAGCAATGAAGAGTTAATGAGGGGGAGGGGCAGCAGGCACAACTAGCACATTTTTTCAAGAATATAGCAGTTTCTTAGACTCTAGCAATTTCTCACAGATAGATCCAGTAATGATTTTGACTTGTTGCAAGCTTGGTGAGCATTTTCTTTTTCTAGAAACATTTCAGTGACTGGCCAAATTGGTTGTATTCCATCCCATCTTTCTTATTATCCCAAAACAGAACATATGCTACTGATCATGCTTCATTATATAACCAGCCTTGTTGCTTCTCAGTGAGCAACAATGAAAGGATCTCGTTTTTGTGTTGTACTGAAAGACTATTAGTTCAACATGAAGTTCCATTATTAACCAACTCTATCATGTGATTATAAAGGTGCCCTCAAGTTGAGTTCAACTTCTAATGATTGCATCTATCCAGTTTTCTTGGTAAAGTTACAGGGTAGTGTTCCATTGTCTTCTGAAATGTTTTTTAACTTCTCAGTCTATTCAACACAGAGCTTCTGCAAACGCACCAATCAGAGACTTATGGCCTTTTGTTAAATAAAGACCCGTCCAATTTTATATTCAAGGCTCCACTATAACTTATTCACATAGTCATTGATAGTTTAATATAGCTCTTCTTTATAATACAGGCAGTCCTTACTTAACAACCATTTGTTCAATAACTGTTCAAACTTCCTATGGCACTGAATGAGTCTTACTTACAGCTAGTCCTCAAAGTTCCAGTAGGGTCCCTGTGATCATGTGATCATGATCCAGGCAGTTGACAAGTGGCCCAGATTTCTGACCATCACAGTATGCTGTAGTCACACGATTATGATTTCCCTACTGGGTTTCCACAAGCAAAGTCAATGGGGAAGCCAGCAAGAAGTCAAAATACGTGATCATGTGAGGTCCTCGCTTAACAACTTGCAGTGATTGGCTTAATGGCAGTAATTGGGAATTGCCATAACTGATGTTGCTAATCATAGTGGTTACATGACATTGCTCTTTACAATCATATTGCTTAGCAATAGAAATGTGTATCTTAATTGCCGTTGTTAAGTGAGGACTACTTGTATAACTGAAATTCAACAGTTAAACTATGACTTGCTTAATCATGGTTTGTTGAATAGCTGGATTTGCACAATAGTCTAAGCCTTAGATGCTTAGAATAGACCAATTAATTCTAAACGGCATTAGTCATTATTAATTTGTAAAGAAAACATTGGTTTTAAATACCACAATGAACTAATGAATAAGAAACAGTTTGGAATAAATTATAAAAAGGTAGATCTCAACTTCTTGTGCTTATTGAAATATCCTAACGTTAAGTTGTCTTGTTTATTGCTCATTACGCAGTATAATTATTTTATTATTTATTTTTGTCATAATACATTATGTAAATTTTGACAGTGATATATTAATTGAAAATCATATGGGTAAGTCAAGTTAAGTTTGTAGACTCCTTTGATGGAAGTTGAGTAGATAGGCGGCAAATACATTTTGCAAATAAATAGAAGTTTTGTGTCTGGTTGCCCCTGCTACTGGGCAATTTCCATTTGTTTTAATGGAGCTCCTCAGGAGGAACTTAGTAATTTGTAGATAAATCTCCTATTTACAGAAATTCATACTCTCCAGAATTCAGAGATTAAAAAGAGGGACATATCTGAGGGCATCTAACACCATTTCTGAGCATCTCTGGGTACTCTTTTCTCATGTCCATTATTATAAATTGCTTCTGCAAGCCTTCACTTAAAAAAAAACAATACACTGATTTACTATTCAAGAAGTGTGAAGATCTGAATTCACTTTTGAATATGCATGGATAGATCTGCACTGTCCTATTACAGAGAAGATCGACAAAGGAATTTCTGCCAGCCGCAACAGAAGCATAATTCACAAATGCTCTAAAGCAGTTTGAAAAAAAATGGAACTAAGCATCACAGGCCAGTTTAAGATTCTTTTAGTTGTCAGGAACTGCTTTTGTATACTTAAAGGGACTATCCTTTCCGTGTTTACTTAGCTCGAGAACGCCACCGAACGCTGTGGGATCTACCCTGAATAAACACGCCTAGACTCTCTCGGGTTGTCTTGAGTTCATCCTAACTGGCCCAACGAAAACCGATTTCCAGTCCACCCGTCCTCTTAAACCCACGCCACGTATTTACAGTTGCTGCTCTAACCGGAGCCGTTCCGAACAATCCGGGCCGGAGAAACATGTCGTGTAATAACGTTCTAAGGCCCGAGGTTCAGGGACGGAGCGATGGCTCCGATCCAGACGGACTTTCGGGGAAATCCGACTCCGGGATTTGTCGCGTAGCGAGTGGGCGGGGCCAGGCCGGGCTAGCTCGGGGAAGTTGCTGAAGTTGGAGGGAGCGAGGGCTGAGCCTGGCAAGGGCTTGCTTGGGCGGCCGGGCCTCGCTGGGTGTCTTCGGGGGTTCTCCTTTCGGCTCGGGCGGTGCATGATGGAAGCAGCATGGCCACTCATTTTTCCCTGACCCAGGTAAGGGCTTCCTTATGAGACAAGGGGGCGGAGGTGTGCGGGCTTAGCTCGGGGGAGGGAGAAGGCAGCCAGGCGCTGAGCTGGCCTCCTCTCGCGAGGAGCAGCGGGGGTCTCGCTTCCAAGCGCTGGCGCAGAATCTCCTTCGCAATGTCGTCGTCGTCGTCGTCCGCTGCTCCGAGCTCTTTCCATCTACGTGTATCCCCGCCTGGACGGGCTGGTCGTAGGGCTTCCGCCCGGCTCCTTCCCGGTTCGCACGTTCTCTTGCCGCCCGAGCGTTATTGTTTGCATTGGGGGGGGGCGCGATGCGCGGCACCTTTTCTCTTTCCCGCTCTCGTTTTTCGTAACTCGCCCTCGTCGTTTCTTTGGTTTTCCTTCGTTGTAGTCGGAGAGCCGAGCCGCCCTCTTTGACTATGCCGTGCCTACGCCTTGGATGCCGTGTGGACTCGCCTGCCCCCTTTTCAGGCCGTCCTCCCCAGCTGCTGAAGTGAACCGACCTTCCAGAAGCGCTTCGTGCAGCCTCAAAAATAGTGCCAGAGAGGGGATTCCCTGCAATTCCTAAGCGGGCATTCATTTCTGTCTCCTTTCCAGTGGGGATACTGTATGGATGTTACCATATCCTGTGCTCTAATATATGGGTTGCTTTAAAACGGGCATTTCAATGGTGCGCAGTTTTGGAATCTTTGTGGGCATTTCCAGTCCGGTGATTACATTTCTGGCACTGGATATTTGCTGGATTTCCTTCATACTCATAGTCCACGTGATTGCTTTTCAGTTTGTGATCTGTTCTTATCCATTCCTTCAGTTTCTTAGGAGAGACATGCTCATTTTAGGCCCATGTATTTCTTTTCCACTTGGGCTTTTGATATGATTTCTGGTGTTGAAAATGTTAGATATATATTGCTCAGAAGGCGTCTCATAACAGCAGAGGTATGCTAAATAGTAAATTAAAGGAAGGGCTTCGTAACTGTAGTTGGAGGGCATATTTTTCAAGGTTTCTGTAACGACAAGCAAAAACAAATATTTTTTAAATTATTATTTTTCATTATAGGGATTCTAGGTGCTACTGGTAATATAGAATTACTGAAGGAAAATCCCAAATTGTGCTCCTAATTAAAATTCAAGTATATGAATTCCTACTTCATATGCATAGAAATGAATCATGCACTTCAGAGGGGCTGATATATGAACACTTACTTAACTTTTAGAATGGGAGATGTAAAATCTTAGTTACTACATGAATCTGCAGTTCTTGGAATCTTCGTATAAATCGGATTTATACTCCATCTTACTGTGGATTTAAGCAAAGAAAGCAGTTTATGTAGGATCACATAAGTTAGATCAAGGGGTCTTCAAACTCGGTCCTTTTATGACACATGGACTTCAGCTCCCAGAATTCCTCAGCCAGGCACGTTGGCTGAGGAATTCTGGGAATTGAAATCCATGAGTCATAGAAGGGCCAAGTTTGAAGACCCCTGAGTTAGATGTTAGGGTCAGTTTATATCAGACATGTCAAATTCACGACATCATGTGATTATTTTGCCATTGCCGGAAATGGGGTGGGCGCAGCTTCTGCGTGACGCGTCTGGCCCACGGGCCGGCAGTTTGACACCCCTGGTTTATATCAAATACTGCTCCACAGTGTTTATCATAAGATGCTAGCACATGGAGCCATCAAATAAAATTTAAAACTGCTATTCTAACTTGGGAGCCAGTTGGGTATAGTACAGGGATTTCCAAAAATGGCAACTTTAAGATTTGTGGACTTCAACTCCCAGAATTTCCATGGCTGGCTGAGGAATTCTGGGAGTTGAAGTCATAAGTCTTAAAGTTGCCAAGTTTGGAGACCCATGGCATAGTGGTTGATGTTGTTGTTAGCTGCGAAGTCGTGTCTGACCCATCGAGACTCCATGGACAACGTTCCTCCAGGCCTTCCTGTCCTCTACCATCTTCTGGAATCCATTTAAGCTCACACCTACTACTTCAGTGACTCCATCCAGCCACCTCATTCTCTGTCGTCCCCTTCTGGTTGATGCATCAGGCTAAAAACTGGGAAATTGTGGTTCTAGTCTGTCCTTAGGCCCAAAGCCAGCTGGGTGATTTGGGGCTTGTCACTTTTTCTTAGGAAGGAGGCAATAGCAAACCACTGAAAAACTTTGCCAAGAAAATTGTAGGGACTTGCCCGTGTAGGATTGGAGAATCAGATCCGATTGAACTGAAGAAAAAAACTATATTTGTTTATAAGAAAACTGCACAGATGCTGTCACCAGGAATTGATTTTTAACTGAAAGGAGTTTTTACCATGTTGATGAAGTGGGAATGAAATTAGAGAATGAATATATGAACAAAAGTGAGGCTAAAGCAGCAAATACATTAGTGCTGTCATATGGGCTGCCATCCTATATCTCTCCCCCCACTCTCCAGCATGTTTAGCAGCCTCTATAAGTTTAAATGTGATATGAAGACCTAAAGCAGCTACTATTGTCAGTTCTCAACAACTGGAATTTAAAGCAACTGCAACTCACTAATTCATGGTTAAGTGAACTTTACAGAAGTAGCCTATCTCCCTGGCTTCGTACAAAATGCAGAACCAAAAACTTAAGCATACTAAGTCACAACTAGTCAAGTACCCATTTACCTAACATATTGCATATATTTGATATAATTCTGCTTTGAAAGTGAAAAAAAGTTTTGCACTAATTATAACTGGAAAATCTCAGATCTCTAAACTATTTTTCTCTTCAAAGCAGAAAGTCTTAAGGAAATAGAATGTGAATTGAAATAGTATTCGGTAACAAGACGGATAAAGCTGTGAAACTGAGCTAGGGTATACTAATAGTTTAAAACAACTGAAATAGCTATGTGCTTAAAAGTTAGAATATTACGTGTGAATATGACTGTCACAATTTAGGAACTTTATTTACTTTTGAAAACCAGTTTGCTTCTACTATAGCCAAATATCACCTAAGGTCACTGCATCCATTTAGCTTCAGGTCAGAGAATGTATGTCCAAGCAGCCTTTGTTAAACTTGGCTGTATATATTGACTTCTGTGTATTATTTCTTTTCCCATTACCCTTTTTATAATATTGTGATGTGTGATCTATAGCAGGGCTTTTCAACCAGTGGTACGGGTACCACCTGTGGTACATTGGCACCTGGCAGGTGGTACGCGACCATCCTAGAAAAGTGATAGTGGGGGAGGGGAATGAGCTGAACTGGTGGCAGCATCGCACAAGCCTGAGCGAGAGATGGCTGGAGCTGCAGGGCTGTCAGGGCTCAGCGGAAGGGCCAGGATCAGTGCCAGGCTCCAGCTGGAGCTCGGTGCTGATCCTGGTGCTTCTGCTGAGCCCAGAAGAAGCGCCGATCAGCTGGAATGTTGCAGCCTCTCCAGGGTCTTGTGATTTACATTCAGATGCTTGGCAACCGATTCATATTTATGACGGTCCCAGTGTCCCAGGGTCATGTGAAGTGACCAAAACCTGCTGCAACCACCCAGCAGACGGGGGGAATAAAAACCAAACACTCCCCCACCCCACCCCCGCTGCCAATCCCCAACAGAAATGCTCACAACAATAAAAACCTCGGACAGGAGGAAGAGCGGGCAGGCCGGTGTCTTGCTCGGCTGTGCCCTGGGGGGCACTTTTTTCAGTACCATTGTAACTTTGAACAGTCACTAAGCAAACTATTGTACGTCGAGGACTACGTGTACTTTATCACTTTTTTCCTTTTTTTTTTTTTTTTTTTGGTCAGAAAGTTTTTGACACCTTGCTAGGCGACTGGTGGTACTTGGATGTTGCCATGTCCTAAAAGTGGTACAATGGGTGAAAAGGTTGAAAAGCCCTGATCTATAGTACACTCATTTGTTAAGCCCTGGCAGATGCAAAAATATAAATGTTTTTAATTGAACTGGGAAAATTCCCTTGAAGGGAAAATTGTAGTTGTGAAAATCGCAGGATGTCAAGAATTGTTAGATTTTGTTTTCCAGTTTTAATGACATATTTAATGTGAAATGCTGAAATTTGATATATGTTTTAGCATTACACAATATGTTTCTTCATTTACTATATTACAGTGATGCAAAACTAACAATAATAGAAAAACAGAAGGTTTTTCTAAGTTTCTAGCAAATATTTTAACTGTATAAAAATCTTCTGAATTTTATACTTCAATTTTGTAATTATCCATTCAAGCAAGTGAAGCATACGTGTATTAAAAGAGGGGAAAAAAATCAGGTGTGACATCATTATACATTGTCTAAACTCACAACATCACGTGATGTATCGCGACATATCGCGACTTTTTTTCCATTGCCGGCAATGGGGTAGTAGGCGCAGTTTCAGCATGACGTATCCGGCCCATGGGCTGGCAGTTTGACATCCCTGGTTTAAAGACTTGGAAATCAGTTTCAAAATTAGAAACTCTAGAAACTCTTTCGGTTATGAACTAAATATTACTGGTGGTTGTATTTTCAGAGCAATATATTCAATGATGATTCAGATTTATATATACGGTCTACTCTTAGGCTTCCTTGAAGTATCAAGAAAGGAATGTTGCAGAGGGCTGTCACCTGAAACTCTTAGTTACTCAAATTGCAAATGACATTTAATTCTTACCTGTAATTCTGCTGGGAGCATGATAAGTCATCACTCTTCAGTAATGGGTTATTAAAAATTATTTACATAAATAAACTTTGTAAGAGCCGAATTATTACTGCAGGTAAAGGGCTTTAACATTTTAATGTATTTTTTGCAATCATTTCTATGTTTCTGAAGAAATTGAAATAAATGACCATCAGCTACTGTCTTTCTAAAGATAAAAACCTTTTGTTTCATTTGACCACATCCTAACTTAATTGGCAATCCAGTGTTTCATAAATTTGATTGTTATATTGAATATTAATGACTACAAATTAAATATGTAACTTCCAAATAATTTTACTACAGGGATATGTTTTAGGAGAAGGGATATTGTTATTAGCAAAAAGCTGCCACTAAAATAAAA